AAAGCTGCTGTCCATGCTTTCCAGTGCCACTTCTTTGCAGGAAACAGCTGCAGGTCCACCAGCTGTTTATGGCAGTGTCCATAGAATGCCTCAATGACACTCATTGGCCTGTTCAAACTTCAACTACAACAACTACTACTACTACTACCACTACTACTTCTTTTTCTTCTTCTTTATTCCTCTTCCTCCTCCCCCCACCCTTTTTTTTTGTACCAAGGATAGAACCCAGGGGTACTTAAACACTGAGCTACATTCCCAGCCCATTTTTATATTTTAGAGACAGGGATTCTTGCTAAGTTGTTTAGGGCCTTACTAAGATGCTGAGGCTGGCTTTGAACTGGGCATACTCCTACTTCAGCCTCCCAAGCCTCGGGGATTACAGGCCCGTGCCACTGCACCAAGCTGGCCCATGCAAACTTCTGTTACAACTCAACTTTTGTAGCAAGAAGAAAATATGTTCTTTCCTGTAGTCTTCTTGATAACCTTATAACCCAGGTTTACTGATATCTCTGCATCCATACAATCTGGCCTAGTGCAATGGTACCTCCTCCTCCTTGTCTCTCTCCCAACAATGTGGTGATGTTTTTATTTTATTTTTTTTAAAAGAGAGGAGAGGAGAGGAGAGGAGAGGGAGAGAGAGAGAGAGAGAGAGAGAGAGAGAGAGAGAGAGAGAGAGAATTTTTTAATATTTATTTTTTTGGCAGACACAACATCTTTGTTTGTATGTGGTGCTGAGAATCGAACCCTGGCCGCATGCATGCCAGGCAAGCACGCTACCGCTTGAGCCACATCCTCAGCCCTGTGGTGATGTTTTTAAAGGGTTTGCTTGTTTGTTTTTTTAAGTTGTTGATGAATTTTTATTCTATTTATTTATTTATATGTGGTGCTGAGGATTGAACCCAGTGCCTCACACAGATGAGGCAAGCACTCTACCACTGACTCACAACCCCAGACTGTCATAAGGGTTTTAAATATCCAGTCCAGACTAGATGAGCTGTGGGTCAGTTTCTTCCACTGTCTAGTCTGGGTCTTCCTTTCACTAACACATCACAGATCAACTCCAAGCAGTTGCTTCCCCTCAAGACAGCAGCAGGTCCCAGGAAAACTGAGAGACCAGCCAGGGAGCATGGGCCTGATTTGTCTTTCTCCTGGCCTTCTTGGAGTCATGTCTAGGTATGTGCATACAGTTCAGAGACAACCACAGATTTTTCTTTCAATTTCTTCAATTTTCAGATGCCATGGCCTATAGAACCTTCATCCTCTGCTTTAAGTCAATAAACCTGTGGTGTCCTATTTGATGTCTAAATGACTAGAGAGAGCCCCCACAGCAAAAGCAGCTCTCCTTTCAAGTACTCACTCCCTTCCTAATTTTTGCCCCTCTCTGATGCCTTCAGACAACTGTTTTTCCTATTTTATCCACATTTCATTATGAATAGATTCTGTGATTATTGGAAGTAATTGGAAGTTAATTTTGAACCTATAATTGTATCTCCTGCTCAAAAAGTAAACTGCTATTAAAAATGAAGCATTAAGACCTACTGTAAATGCAGATGGTTCCAACGTTCAAGTCAGAGGATGCTTTTTAAGTCAAATGTACTCATCTAGACAGAACGTGGCTGTAGGCCCCGCCCCTCCTCCCTCCCCTCGGGCGTGCCTGTTCCCATGGCTACGCGGCGCCAGGCCCGGTCAACCCGGCCACTAAGCTGAAGGCGGAGGCAGTGGCAGTGAAGACATGAGCGGGGTGGGGGTGGCGGCTGGGGCGCGGCCCCTCAGCTCGACGACCCCGGGCTCCCGGGCCACATCGCGCCCACGCCAGCGCCCGCTCGCGGGCCTCCAGTACCAGGTACCTCATCCCACACAGCTCGGGCTCAGCGAGGCACAGAAGCGGGTCCTGGACCTGGAGAAGAGCCTGCAGTTCCTGCAGCAGCAGCATTCGGAGACGCTGGTCAAACTCCATGAGGAGATCGAGCACTTGAAGCGGGAGAATAAGGGTGAGTCTTGAAGCTGGGACGCGAGAGACACGCAGCCCGTCTCTCCTGGTGCCCTAAACCCTTCCTGGGCCTGCAGCCAGAAGCACAGCACCATAAGTTCCAGATCAGTTTTGGGATACAGGGAGGGCACAGAGCAGTATTCCCTCACTCATGGACAGGGTCAGGCCAATCTCATTTTCAAAAAAGTTTTTAAACAAGTTGAACATACTCAAGTGAGAGTGTACAGCTCAGTGAATTATAACCAAGTATCAAGGGCAGACACTGTCTGGACCTCTCCACGAGTGTCCATGTTATTCCCAGGCAGGGTCTTTCTAACTGCATCCTTGGGGTCTCCTCACCAGCTAAGCCATGCTTGACACAGAATCTGAAGCCTGTTGGGACTCTGGCCTCACTAGTTAGAGCGTCTCTGCCCATCACCTGGTCCTGCTTGCTTCAGTTTCTCTGGCCTGCTTCTAGTTTTGTCTTTATCTGGATTGACAAGGACTCAGTAATGGCATCTGTCATGTTAGGGCACCTTTCCACATATCTTCTTGAGTCTCACCCTGGTTCCTGACACCTGACCTGGCCAGCCCCATATCTGGGCATCACTTGATTATTGTCTTGCTCACATTTGCACATTCATGTCCAGGGCCTCCTGGAGGGCTGGGTTATCATGATTCACTTCTCTACCCCTGGAGCCAAGGCCTTGGCTGGCAGTGTGCCCTGCAGACATTAGGGACATGGTGGGAGATGACAGGGAACAGCCAGAGGCATTTCTGGCCTAGGGCAAAGACTTGGTAGAAAAGGCTGGCAGGAACTACAAGCAAGAGCCAGTCAGCCATGATCACAAGCCAGGACTCTTGGGGACTAGGAGGGAGTAGGCAGGGCAGGCCAAGCCAAGCTTCTTCTTTCAGAGAAGCTATGGCTTTGAAAATGACAAGGAGAACATGTGCTTGCTTCCAGATCTCCACTACAAGCTAATAATGAATCAGAAGCCACAGAAGAAAGGTAAGGCTGAGGCCCCTTAGTGCCTGATAGGAAGTTACCTCTGTCTACTGCAGCCCCCATCCCCAGATTGCTCATGTCCATCTGGCATGCTAACTCAGTGGGAACTGGTTCTGGGGGAACTAAATAGATGCCACTTCCCCCACAGCTGGGTAACTTTATGCAGTGCAGCAGGTGTTCAGTCTCAAGGCCTGAGATCTGAGCAGATGGGGCTGCAGACCCTTCCTCATCTGAGCAGAGCTCCTGAATCAGGTGGGGGCCCTGGAACAGCCCCTTTCCTCCAGGGCTTCACTACCCTCTGGCTTCTCAGCCCTGTCTCTGGTCCCTTAAACCTTGGAAGAGGTGACTCTGGGTATACTCCCTATGAGAAATCTTTCCTGCCATCATCTCTGTAGACACCATGGGAATGAGTGGGAAAAGAAGCAGAGACTCAGCCTGCAGCACTTGTCCAAGACACTTTCTTGTCCCTGTTATGGCCCATTCTCCTTGCCTATTCCCTAGCCCAGCCCAGGGGTACCCCTATTGAGTTCTTGGGTTCATTCTTCTCCTTACCTTTAGAACATCAGGTGGTCTGACTGGCAAATGGTGCCATTTGGGAACATCCTATCTCAGGTGGTGCCCAGGGCTCTCCCTTCCTGAAGACATGCAGAAAATAGAGTGGAGGAACAACACTCTGGTTTATCTGCAGATAACCTCTGGAGCAGCCCTAGCAAGCTGTTCTGGGCAAAGTGTAGCCCAAGTTAGTAGCTCTAGCCCTGCAGGACTGGAGGCCCTAATGAGACACCAGGAGAGGTTATGCTCTCACTCAGGACTTGATGTTCTTTAAGTCACAACTTCCTTGCTTTATGAATACCCCTCAGGAGACAACTTTTCCAGTGGCCTCTGTTCCTCTGGGAACTTGGCTGGGTATGGGGCTGCCTCAAGGGAGTGTTGGGTAGAACAGGCAGGACACATCCCCACCAGGTTTGGGGAGGAGTCCCCACAAACATTTAGGACTGAGGCCTGCGAAGGCCAGGAGGTTGGGACACGTGGGCTCTTGGGTGGTAGCTACTCTCATGTTGGGTTGAACCTTGCATGTTCTCTCTTACAGGCAGCATGTCCACATCAAGCTTTCAGTCCAACAAGTCCATCTCCAATTCAACAGTGTCAGGTGAGTGGGCCAGGACCCCCTATGTACTCTGAGCAAGGGCCCTACTTGGGCCCAAGGCTGGGGTGGCCAGTATGGGTGCTGACCAGGGAGCTGTAAGCTCATAGTGGTCTTATGTTGAGCAGACTTTGGGAAGACCCCATGGATTCAGGGGAGAAGGGTTAGTTAAAGGGAGCCAAGAAGGGCAGTCCCTGGTACTCTGAGAGCTGAAGTCACAGGAGACTGAGGAGAGTGGGATAAGTCCGTGGCCCAGAGGGAGGCCTTGAAGGAAGGCTACCAAACAGGACAGGGTTGGGATATTGTTGCAGGGCAGCAAGATACTATGGCAGCCCCACCTGGGCAGGAGTGTGATCAGTTGGACTCACTGATAGAGGGGACTCCTAAGTGCCTGCCAAGGCCCCCAGTGGTCTCCCTGGGAGGATGTGCACAGACTGTCCAGCAGAAGGCCCGTTGACCTGTTATGCCCAGATAGGCAAGATGCAGGTGGGATGATCCTGCCCACAGAGCCCTTGCCTTATAACATCTTTTGAGGAATGAAGGGAGCAGAGAGCTTCTTCTCCCATTCTGACTGCCACAAGAGGCCAAGCTTCCTTACCAGTGGGCAATGGGCCTGGGCTTGGGCCTAGAGAATAAACCCATGCAGAGTTCCAGTGCTCTTCCCCAGTTCTATTTCACTCCAAATGGAAGCCAGCTTCCACCTGATTGTTCCGGCGTGTTCAGCAGGCACGACTCATAGACTTTACCCTCAGAACCCCAATTTATTCCTCCCATCAGACCTTCCAAGGGAGGCTCTTTCCATCTCCTATTTACAGAGGAAACCGGGGCAGGGGCAGGGGCTTCTTGGGTGCAAGCAGCTGATCCCAGAGGACTTGGGCAGTGACTGGCCCTGTCGGGTCTGACCTGCAGCCAACTCTCAAAGCAAGGCAAGGCCCCAGCCCAGCTCCAAGAGGCAAGAGTCGAAAGCTGATGCCCCCCAGAAGATGGACCTGGAAGAGGAGCCATTCAGTGCTGCCCTATTTCACAGCAGCAAGCTGGACAGAGTCCCTGGGGTGCAGGGGCAGGCCAAGTAAGGCTCACCTGCATCAAGGCACAGGCCTGCAACCCAAAGGCCCTAGGCTTGCACTTAGTAGGTTCCCACCCTGGGAACAGCAGATTTCTTCACCCACTTCTCCATTGGCTCATGAAGTCAGCTACCAGGCTATCTGTTGGGTGCTGCCTTCTTCCTCTTCCCTGGGGGTCCTGGAGGGTCCCTGTGCTGACAAGGGCCCCAAAAAGAGGACCAGTTGCAGCTCCTAAACCTTTCTCAGAGAAAAGAAACAAAAAAAAACGATCTGATTTCCAAATTAGTTTTTTACCAAGAACACAGTGAGTAAGCCTGGTGTGGTGTACACCTGTAATTCCAGTGACCAAGGAGAATGAGGCAGGAGGATTGTAAATTCAAGGCAGCCTCAGCAACTTAGTGAGGCCCTGTCTCAAAGTAAAAATTAAAAAGGGTTGGGGGATGTGGCTTAGTGGTTAAACATCCTGGAATTTAATTTCAGGTATCAAAAAAACAAAACAAAACAAAAAAAACAACCAACCAAACAAACAAAACACACACACACACACACACACAAAAAAAAACCCAAAAACAAATCCACACCACAGAGCACAGTGAGTGGGCCTGACTGATTATCTTGGAGTTGGGTGCCTGCCTTTGGAAAGCACTGGGCCAGCAAGGCACAGCAGAACTAAAATCTGGTGACCACTGTTTCTTGGACCTCCCTGGAATGCTAGAGTACATGATCTGGAATAGTGTAGTTAGTTGGACAGGATCCCACTTCTCTGAACAGACCTAACATTCCCTAGAGACCAGCCTGCAGTGAGAAGACCTGCTGGCCATTAGGACCCAGTTAGCTGGTCCCAAAGAACACACCTGGTTCCCAAAGAACCTTGGTCAGCAGAAGGGAGCCAGGCCCAGCATAAGATATGTAGATGGCCCTTTTCCCCTCATGGGCCCACACTGGCATGGACACTGCTGTGGGAAGGGTGGTAAGATCAATTCCTTAGGCCACCTCTGGGCTGCTGTTATGACATTTCAGAGACAAGGATGCGGAGAACTCTAATTCAGGGGCCACCTTTGTGGGGGTCACCCAGCACAAGGGCAGGCAGGTGACAGGAGCAGCTCCCTTGATGAGCCTGCCTCCACACCTGCGCAAGCCCACTACAGTACAGCAGTGCGAGGTAGTCATCCGGCAGCTGTGGAACGCCAACCTCCTACAGGCACAAGAGGTGAGGCCTGGGCAGGGCATGGCCTGGCACCTCTACAGGCCCTACCTTGTACCCCACCATGCCTCTCTTCTCTTTCAGCTGCGGCATCTCAAGTCCCTTCTGGAAGGGAACCAAAGGCCAAAAGCTGCCCCTGAGGAGGCTGGGCCTGGCTCTATAAAGTGAGTGCCTCTGTGCCACTGCCCCAGCCACCAGTGGGACCTAGTGTGGGGCTCACTGCTGACTTCCTTCCCCAGGGACCAGGAGGCCACTCAGTTCCCCAAGGTCTTGACCAAGGGCCTCTCAAAGAAATGGTGAGTTTCCTGGCACAGGAGAGTGGGTAATAGTCTGATGGCCACAGGGAAGAGGGCTGGTCTCAGGCAGGGCTGCCAGCTCTCAGTCCAGCTTCTACCCCAGGGGCCCAAAGGTCTTGAAGATGCTTACAGTGACTGCCCCTTTCCCCATTCCCAGCTTGATTCTGAGCCCAGTGCCTGCAGCAGAGCGTGGTATCCTGCCCGCGCTTAAACAGAGCCTTAAGAGTAATTTTGCGGAGCGGCAGAAAAGGCTGCAGGTGGTGCAAAGCCGGCGCCTGCACCGCTCAGTTCTCTGAGCCCAGTGCCCACAGCTGGAGGCTAGCTCTCTGTGCAGCAGTTCATATGCTTTCTACTACTTTTAAGCCACGATGAATTCCAAGACTGGGGAAACCCATGACAGATAAAGTACTTGATCTCAGAATTGAGAAACTATTTATTTTCTAGCTATTATTTTGCTATTCTGCATTAAAACAAAACCAAATTATGAAATAAATATTATGCTACCTGTTGAAGACTGAAAATAAAACTTGTTTCTCCAAGTCCTAAGTCTCCTTCCTCACTGGCTATCAGTTGTTTTCTCCTGGCCATTTGAAGTAACTCTCTGCTAGTTTGGAAGGGACCTGCCTGGGCAGCCAGGGCTTGCTCATCCCATGAGTTGGCAACTCTCCCAGAAAAGAAGCATCTCCCTGGAGGCCAGATGGTTTTCCCCTCCCTTGTCTTGGCCAGGGGCTGCCTTTCCAAGCGATGATTATTCTGGGTCTCCTGCCCAGACTGGACACTGCTAGGGGCAAGATGCTGTCATTTGCTACACCAACACTGCTGATTGGTCCAGCTGAGCTGTCTTGGACGGGCCACGTCTCGGGAGAATTTTCTCCTCCAGAATGCCATACCTCCCCTCATCAGAATAGCAGCTGCACATATCACCTTGTGGCGGTCAGTTCAGGGCCTAGTGCCATCCTACAGGCTCTCTGCCACCGTGCTCCATTTCCTGGCCATTAATCTCAGAAGGACCTTGACAAGGAATCTGGGCATGAACCAGACTGAGGAATAGTGTACTGTATCAGGAGCTAAGATCTGGAGCATCCTGGGCTAGACTGGACACTGTCCACCTGCAAGACTGACAGCATCCCTAACAGAACAATGGTCCCCAGCTTCACAGAGAAGGGGATGCAGTGATTAACTCATGAGAAACACGGGAATGATAAATTTATTATAAGAACCACATATGACAGGGTAGTGCACATATAAAAAGGGGAAATTATTATCACCAGAGGGCTGCCAGCTGGTGCTCAGTGTGAAAGGCAACACACGGAGGCAATGTACAGCTGCATCCCACAAGGAGCCTCCACTCTGGGGGCAGCACAGAGAATAGGGTACTCTGATGATGCCAGGTCCTCAGGACAATGCCCAAATGGTCCCTTTTCATCCCTCACAGCAGGGACATGGCATCCTTCACCCAAGAGCAGCACACGGGTACCAGGGACAGGCTCCTCAGATGCCACTGCTCCCTCACAGTGCTGAATAAGAGCTTCAAGAAGTGTGAGCAGAACCCACCTAGCTGGTGGTAGGGAACTCACTGCTGCCCACAGGATAAACTTCTCTCAAAAATGGAGCCTGTGCCCTTAATCCAGGAGTGTCCCTGTGATATGACCCAACTGCCACAAGTGACACAGCCTGAATCCAAACCGATCAGAGATTGTACTTTAAGGTTTTCCTATGTCCTCCACATTCTCTTATAGAAATGAGTAAAATGTATTCTAACCAGATGCATGGACAAGACCCTGAGTTCTCCCTCATGCTGCTCAGAGTGGACACGGAGCCTGGAGAGATCACAGGAAGTGCAGTCCAAGGAGTGTGGGATCTGATTCCCTGGAGGAAAGTGTGAGGAGAATCTTCTCTAGAAAGTGTCCCCCATGCAGACAGCTCCACAGCCAACTGGCCCAGTACTGTACAAGTATGGGGAAATGTCTGGCAGGTCCCAAGGCAGAAGAGAAAAGCAGGAAAGCTAACCTATCCCAGGCTTTTTAAGGAAGTCAACACCTAGAAACATCCAATATGAGGCATGAGTCCACAGCCCCATCAAGGCTTCTGGCTGTCCCCGCAGTTCTTGGCTAGGAGGCTGAAAGGCAGGCCTGGTGGATGCTCTGTGCCCAGGTGTTGAGCAAGGCTGTGACTGAATGCTTGTCAGGAAGCTGCAGCAGCCGGGAGGTCATGCACCGGTGCACTGACTGCAGAAAGGGGTTGGCATCTGCAACAGAGCAGCAGGCCATGAACACCAAACCCTCTCAAAGCAGTCAGACATGTCTGAACCTGGCCCATATGGACACCTCTCTGGGAAGCCCCCCAACCCCTAATCAGTCTCCTGTGCTCGTCTGGAAGTAGGGCTCTCCTCCCAGAGCAACAATGTCAGTGAAAAACTGGAATCTCAATGGGATCTGGACCCATAGGCTTTCCCTCTATGACACCCTAAGGGGACTGCCTATACCCAACATAGTCTCTCTGGAGTCACATCACCCATATAGATCCACATGCACCCAAGCTCCTGGTGGTGGGCCCATGTAAGCCCTGCTGAGCTCTAGGGGCCACCAGGATCAACTGGGTCTATCCTTGAGCAGTAGGCTTGTTTACCCCTCCCTGACTAAACATAGCTGCCCTGGAGCTGTAAGATAGGGGCAAAGGACACAATGGGGGAGGAGGTAGAGAGTCTCTTCTTCCTCCAGGTGACCACTGTTCCTCCCTGTGCAAGGGGAAACAGGAGGGATACACAGGTAATCCTGCTACACAGGAAACCCTGTTTGCCCAGAACTGACCCTTGCCTTTCCTGGGTTCCCAAATGTTTCCTCTTGGTTCACCCACCATATTGCCACTGCCGGTCAATCCACAGTGGGCTCTGGGCAGGGTAGTCAGCAGGCACACTGAGCTCCAGTGGTGGCACACTTGGGAGGTCCTTGTCGTCTGCAACACACAAGGCTGCCTGTGACCTGGCCCAAGCCTGGACCTGACACAAACACTGGCCTCAAAGCCCTGCTCCTGAACGGACCCTGCTCACAGTAAATCCAGTGTTTCTAGCAAGCAGAGCCACTGTGTATGGGGAAGAGGTGAGAGTACATGGGCTCAGGCCTGGGAGGTTGAGGCTAGGCCAACAGGAAGGAGGAGGAGTGAGGACAGAGTGGGCAGCTTGGTAGGATGAGTGCAGGGGCAGGCTCAGAGGAGGGAAGTACTTGTGTCTTGAAGGCTGAGCATTTCATGGTCTCTGGTGTAGGCAGTAGAGTCCTGGGGCTTCCAGGTTAGGATTCACTCTCCCAAGTCACCCCTATCCTACCCGGACACTCACCAAGCTTGCATATCAGGTGGACGGTGCCGTTGTTACTGCAGTGAGAAGGGTCCAAGTTCACCAGGAACTTGGGATCTAATCTGGCCACCTCCCCTTGGAGGACGTTGGGGATGCTCTGCCGATCATCCTCCTCAAACCTGCGCTTCCGGGTACACACCACCGGGGCCCTGGAGGAGGTGGCCATGGTGACCACGCTGGTTACATGCAGCCTTTGGCCTGCAACCCACCACAAGGCCCAGCCCTAGTTGTACATACGTAATAGGTGGGCCATGGATGGCTGTCATGGCTGGAACGAATGTGCGGTACAGGGAATGGTTGAAAACGGGAGAGCGGATGTTGGCCAGGACAGCATCCAGGAGTGGTTGGCATAGATCCTGCTGCTTTGTTGGTAGCACTGGGGGTGGTGGGGGCGTGGGCTAGGGATAAGACAGACAGAGTCAGCAGCTTGAGCTTGAGGCCTCACCCATTGTGAAGAGGACTTCCAGATCCCAAGGCCATCATCCTCACCCATCACAGAATCCTGAGGATTCACCCATAACATCCACCCCTGTGTAGCCAGTGGTGGCCAATAACTGGATACAGTCCCCCACCCTGGCAGCCCTGCTCAGGCTTTACTGTCTAAGGGCAGCACCTTGTGCTGGGCTGGCAGATGCAGGGTGGCAGAGGCACCCATGGGACCAAGGTCAGAAGGTGACTTTGTGTTCCCACTCTCCACAGCAATTGGGCCTGAAAGAAGCCTTGTGGGCAGAGTTCCCAGGTTAGGCCTAGACCCAAGCCCTGATTGCCCTTGACCATGAATGCTCCTCCCATACATCTTCTGAGATGCTGTGAGGTAAGCCTTGACTTCCCTAGAGGTGCCTGAGACTCCACTCACCACCGCCATGTCATTCTTGAGTTTTTCCAGGGCGATCTCACACTTCTGCAGGGTCTTCAAGGGACACCTGAGGAGAGAGAGAATGCAGGCTGGTTTCTGTGCAAGAGGGCTTGGGGAATCAGTGACTCTTGGGTGCTGATCCCAACCATTGCCTGCCTGGCCTCTCTAGGCTTTAGTCATTGGAAACCTCCATAGAAACCCCAGCTAGTAGCCAGCTGCTCCCAAACCAGGCTAAGGCCTCAGTCTTATCTAGGCCAGTCCCTGTCCCCCTTGGCCCTAAAACCCCAATGAATAATTAACCCAAGAAGACCTGGAGGGCTGTGGAACAGTGATTACCATTCAACACAGATAAGCAGAATTAAGAGAAACTTCTAGAAAGCAAGCAAGAGCTTGAGCTGAGGCAGTGAGATAGGAGAGAAACAATGTGCACAGTTTTGCAGTGCTGTCCCAGCTCAGGTGCTCATAGCAGCCCATGGCCAGCAGGAAGGGAAAAGGGATGAGAAGACGGCAAGCCATGGCTACCCACATATTTCTCATAGGCATCACCTATAGCTTCATTTCCACAATGAGCCACATGGCTGCTGCTAGCCCTGCAGCAGACAAGGTGACTGAGACATAGCTGCTAGCCAAAGATTACTGAAAAGTTGGGCAGAGCTAAAGATTAGCCTCAGGTAGACGTGGTGAGGCCACTGTAAACCAGGACCTGAGGAGACAAACTATGGTGGCCAAAGGATAGAAGCATGAGCTCCACAGCAGTGGCTGTGGAGTAGTGCAAAGGCTGGGTGCTGGAGGTGAAGTCTGGGATTGAAGCCCCAATACATACCTACATGGAGCCTCAGAGGCTTCTGGCAGGGCCCAAAGACCTGCTGGACCACTTTGCTAAACCTAGGTCATCACAAGCCCTGGGAGCCCTCCACAAGCTGTGGTATAGCACTATTCCGCCCCAGAACCCTCTGCAAAGCTCACCTCTTAGAGGGGTCAGTCAGAATGTCCAGAAGGCTCTTCATCTTACTCAGGTCCTTTTTCCTGTCTGGGACAGAGAGAGGACACTAAGATGCAGGCTCTGAGTGTCTGTGGGGCCCCTGCACCCAGCCCTGGCCTCTGGCCCCACCTTCATTCTTGTCAATCTTGTTGATCATCCGGCGCAGGGGCTCAATATACTTGGAAAGTTGCTTCAGCTTGTCCAGGTATTGTTGTTCCTCTGCCTGGCTGGAGCCTGCTGGGCTCATGACGGAGCTGGGGTTCACTGTGGGACATGGTGCATGAGGCTGGCTCTCAGTGAATCCTTAGGTGAGGTGCTCAGG